TTGACCGATTAGTTAATTCATACGCCTTTCGTTTGGATGCTTGAAAAACAAGCTCAATTCTCCCCACGGTTTCAGCATCAGGTTGCTGGATTTGCAATGCTTCACCAGAGTGAAGCGAGGGGCAGTGACTTCACTTACTGGCGACTCACATCACTCACGTCATTGTTGTTAAACAAACATTTCTGGTTTTTTGTAGGGTGATGGCTTGCCAAACGAGAACTGACCACGTCCTGAAACACTGCCGCCAAATCATTGGCAGACACGGGATAATCCCGTACCACCCAGCTGACACCACAAAGAAGTTGTTTGGTGAGCCAGGTATAAGGGAATCCGAGCCAGCAGCTGTGTTCGTGGTTCCCACCTCAGACGACATCAGTCATACGCCGTTACACAGTACCGACGCTTCACTGCCGCACAACCATCACTTGGCGCACGTGGGCTATGGATATTGCGGGGGTTGCCCTACCTCTACGCAGGCTCCAACTCGCGCCGTCAGATTACAAGACAAGCTCGTTGACTGTAGGCTACGGGCTGACTTTTTTAAAGCACTACGATCGTTTTATCTTTTCGGAAATTCTGAGTAGCGCGTACTCCATCTTACTCCTGTGTGGCTCGAACCCGCAACTTGATTTTTGCTAATCTGTAGCTGGGACCATTGGGCTCAGCCTCCGATGGACTCTCTAAACTAACCGCCTGTGACTCATCCTGCATCATCTGAGTAGGAAGTGGTCCGGAAGGATGGGGCTGACTAAATTGATCTTGAAAGTGATCCGCCCAACGAACCATACGGCGCTCCTAATTGTGGATCATGGCGCTGTCTCTGATTGTCTCATTGACACTTGCTTTCCTGGGACCATTTGTGTAGATCAGTTGAAAGAGCTCGCGAAAATTGTTTTACTGCTCCTGCCTCCAATTCCTGAACCGGATCGGTCCATCGAGCTTCCTTATCAGCGCGCGGGCCCAGCTTTAGCTCACTTCTAATTGTCCGTCTGTTCACTGTGCTCAGAGCCAGCCGGGAGTCTTCTGGATTCCAACTGGTTCACCGACCTTTAAGATATCCAGTGACTTTTGCGGTGGCGATTCATAGTATCACTCGCAGTTGCTCCTGCGTCGTGCATGACATTCAAGATCCTATTCCACTGGCACTGTCATTTGGACAAGTGAGCGAAAGTCCGTTGCGCACTGCATCCTGATAGGCTTGTCTGACCTAGGGCTGATGTAATTTTTCAGTTGCCAGTCGAGGGAGACGCTTCCTACTCCTCTCGGTGAAGTTCATAGGGAAACGACTGCGTACCAAGGTATGATCAGAGTCGACGCAAGTACTCCAGAAACAGCGACAATCCTGTATGAGGCCACGTCACTCGTAAATTGTGGCAATGTTAATTATTTGGGTGCATCACTGGCGAGCTAAAGTGGGACACCAAGTGGCACTTCGGCGCCCACTGAATCCAAGTGTGGTTACTAAAAAACGGCTGGATGCTCCGTGCACTGTTACAACAGACGCTAGCCACTGTCCGTCCGTAATTACCATCTAGCTGAGCCCAGGCGACCTATTTGCGGATACATATCCCCTGCACAGTACCCTAGTATCTGAACTGGTTATGCGGCGTAGTTGCGTAGAATAGAATGGAATAGAAAGAATGTGACCTTGGCAGCATCAGAACTGAAGCGAAAACCACCAACAAACAGCGTTTTGTACTACTTTAGTTGATGTTGCCAAACGAACTGCTCACGCGAATCCAATCAACCAACCATACCTCTGCCTTGGGGTTGAGAACGATGCCTGCCCCAGCTTAGCCAGTGACTGCCGCATCAGCGTTTATGGATGTGTGCAACCATAAGCTGGAGTACAAGTCTGGTGCTGCTGGCTCAACAATCCCGTAAGGGTAATTAATCAAGGTTTGGTATACTCAACACCCACTGTATCCAATGTGCGTGCGAGTACAGCCTGTTGACCTATTTGTCTTAGAGTTGAACCCCGCCAGGAATCAGAGCAGCGTGGCCTTATAGGAGACTGGTGCCAATAGGCGTCCTGTTGGTGTTGCGGGAAGATAGCTGCAGATGGTCTGACTCCTGTGGGATTGTGGCTGGGCGTAAGAAAAACAGGTGGAAAGAAAAGGTGGGAACCGCGAGCAGTAGCATGTATCGTTTGTCGCCTGCTGTGTTCGGCAGATGAGAGATGACTTGATAACCTGTGCGACGGCCGATGCGCAGTGTGTTTGGAGTTTGAGCTAGTAGTCGTGGTTGTACGTGAGCTTACTGCTAGGGCGCTTAGACTGGTGAACGATTAGGATCCTCACACAAAGCCTTTGGCTCAAAAGCCTATCCGCAAGGCAGCGGTATCAATGAATTAGTTTTACTTACATCGACGCCATCGCGTTTCCATCCCCTCTCCTAAAGGACCTGTTGAGATTATCTCTCAGTTAGGTTGGGGGCACCATGCAGTTATGACTCAATGGTTCGTAAAAGTACGCACACCGTCGCACCACGTTAAGGTCCAATCTCGTTGCGACGGCGTCCATAGGTACATCTATCTTGGCATTTGTCACAGCGCTTTTGGAATAGAATATGAATTTGCAAACCATATAGCCAAAGCTGAGATCGCTTCTACCCAAGTTTGCCATACCATCGCGATATCACTCTCCCTCTTAAGGGGAAGTCTGAAATGTATCCGTCCATTCAACACTGATGTACGGTTGTGAAACAGACCATCAGGTCGACAGCCATAAAGCGGCTAGTGGCGTTCGACCATTGGTACTTTCACAGTTTTGTTCATATCTAGTTGGAATACCGCATGAGCAGTGAACGTTTTGGCGTCTTGTTTATGGCATTGTAAAAGAGTGAGCCGCATGGCACCCCTTGTTTCACGCACGTGATCCCGCAATTGGCCTACTTTTCGCGATCGGGGTCTGGATGTTAAGAAACAGTTAATGAAGGTTATCACTTCTAATTTGGCCTCAATTGTTGTTTTCCGACTTCCTGGTTCGGGTCAGCAATATGATCACGCTTAGTTCGAAACTCTTGTTGAGATTGCGGGGGACCGCTTCGCGGTCGATACACGCCAAACAGACAATGGCCATGAAGAGTGCTTTCTGCGCCTGCTGTGCGCCGAATTTGACATATATAAATCGTGTATGAATCTCACAAGCATCGATCAGTTTGATCAAAGCATAGTGTACGGCGTTTCGGTGTGTTGATAACGCTCCGAAACGGCGACTGACAAGGAGTCTTCGAAATGGCCGGGAACCTTGGTGAGTAGCGAAAGCCCGTGAGATGAACAAAACCAGTGGGCCTGGTGGAAGCTTAATGCTGTTACAGCTCGTCCACAACATGGATCCGATAAAACCCTCCGTTAATGAGATACTGTTTGAGAAAGGTGGGCAGTTGATTCATTCTCAGCCGCGTGGACTAGCCCTTAAGTGGTGGAATGTCTTGAAGAACAGTTCAGAAGTCACGCCGCGACACACCCGCTTGCTGAATCATCTGAACCCAAGTGGGAAGGTAATGTCACACCTCACACTTTCGGAGAGATTCGACATGCCTTGTTGAAACGAAACGAGTCTCCTTGATGTCGTTATTTTTCGACCGAACTTGTTGCCCTATGTGAGACACTGAAGAGGTACCTTCAGAAGGCGATTGTCGACTGTCGTGGTCATTCTCAGCCAGAGTCACTAAGCTTTATGCCTTGTTTATATTCCCTCCTCTCGTGCTTCGACGACTTACTGGTCTGCGTGGGAGCCGGTTCGTTGCAGATTGTCTGTTTAGGAAGTTGAATCTAGCTTCTGCTGCACTCCGGACGGTCTCTTGCTTCGAGTTTCGTTATTTGGTTCAGATTGTAGGTACGTGGTTAATAGACTTGAAACGGAGCTTAGTACTCCAGCTCCTGTTCATCTTATCGATACCGACACATGTAGCAACGGGTAGGCTCACTTGTGTCCTTGAACACTACTTCCATCTAAAGTGTAATCTCGCCTCGCTATTCTGATCCCACCTATCATCCTCGAGACACGTTTCACGAAATATCTTTTTCTGGTGAAGTGGGATTTTGCGATTTAGTCGCTTGTGTTGCTCTACTGTCATCGCTGATTCTTAGTTGCCCTTACGTTCAAACTAAGTAAACAAACGCTCCCGCATTTTATTATCGCGGTTTCCATGATCAGTGTTTTCACAATCTTCTGATTAGCGCAGATGTATTTATGCGTCGGACTATTGCTTGTACTATCCTGCACGATAATCCTCAAACGAAGCTATCCGAGGATAGAATTCGAAGCTCGATTAGCATTTCCTGAGTCGTAAAGGAGGTTTATCTTAGAATCGTTTGGTTTTGTGTGTTGTGCATAAAAACTGCTTTACTTCGTGTCCTATCGTCACTGGTTATAATATCGTTGACTGATTATTCGCTGCCTGGGCTTCCTGTGCCTTGTTTGTTTGCGCGGCCACTGACCTGGGGCAGCATGCGCCCCACAACTGCAACCAAATTGTCACCACATATCCATCAGTTGTACCTCACCTAACTGTGCGTTCCTATTTTGTCGCTTGTGGTTCATCTATCTGCAATCTTTCATTCTTCATCCAAATTGGATATTCACCCTGCAATCGTGGTATACTCTACTGGTTTTGATTTTTTACTGTTTTCCATTGAGACATGTACGTGGTGCCAGTTTGATGCTGCCTCTTCGGACATTAGCTGCAACGGACTACCAACCGTCACCGGAAGTGCTTAATCTCTGTAGATGTGTTTCCTCACTTGGCAATGTGTATGTTACGCTAATTATTAAAACATTCGCCTGAATATTTGGTCTAGCCCGGCTCTGATTCGATTGTGCTTTCTACCTTTCATTCTTTACTTTTATTACTTAAACTGGGTGGGTGCTACAACGCTTTTCACTCGTGGTCCATCTGCGGAAGTTGCCAACTTATATTCTGATTACAGCCACCACTATCGCCGCTATAATAATACCCTGTGGCTGTTCGTTTTATAACTATCGAAACCGTTTTAGGTAAGCAAAAAGAGAAAGCAGCCGAGGAGGCTGCTGCAAAAGCCGCCGAGGAAAAAAAGAAAGAGACTGCAAAAACCGAACCAGTCGCTACTGTCCCTTCCCCAGCTTCTGCTGTCAAGATATCGCTGAAGAATTATCCATCTATAGTTATCCAACACAAGTTTCCGCGTGATTACACTCTGCAAACAGTCAGTCTGGATGTGAGTTCCACACGTCTATTGTTCAAAATGTTCTATTTCTTTGTTTTAATCTGACTAACATTTTCTGAGTCAATTTAATGTCTCCACCGTCCTTTGTTTCATGCTCTTGATCCGGTAGTTATTGCCTTGTCCTCAGACTACCCATCCTCAGGAGAATCCGGTTCTGGAGGCCTTAAAGATGCCGTTGATTGGCTTGGTGTAGACAACCCCGCCCCGAGGCTGAGTCGCTTGCATGACATCATTTGGTACATCATGGCAATACCTCAATCGGGTACCAACTTGTCTCTACTCTCATAAGCTGCAGCATAAACACGAGATGGCCAATTGCCAGACAGTTTCTCACTTTTCACAGTCTTGGAACGTTGTAAACTCTTGTGTCACAGCACGCTTTCGCATATGCCTCAGATTGGTAACATGCGTCCCGTTACTGCACATCAGGAGCTCACTTTCGCCGCGCGGCTGCCGACAATGATTGTCAGTCAGATGCAGTGCGTACCGCGCCTCAGTCTGGTCAATGTTACTGTGTGATTCAAGTACCACTCTACGCAGTGGAAAAATTATTAGGCTGCATCTTCAGTCGCCGCTACTTCTAAACTATCTGCCTACATTCCGTTGGGACGCTATGTAGACCATGTGGATGTCCAATAGTGCTTACTGCTGGACCATGTGTGATACGTTATTTGACCAAATCACGGTTTTGCACACCTTCAGCGTGTATTGTCTTCCATCGGTTTCAGTAGACCCACGTCTAAATGTATGTTGACATATAGATGTTTAGATGCACGAACAGGTCGTTTCACTATCAGTGTGTTTCTTGCATTTGGTTCGATTTCTCATCTGATAAATGCAACATGCTCTTTTAATCCGTTGTTTTTCTTACCCCTCCACTTGCCCCGATTTTTCCTTTTTTGTCGGTGTCCGATCCATCTGCCGAGTTGCGCTACTTACTTCCCACGTTTTTTGATTCGTAAGCTCGCACTCACTTTCGTAGTTTGCCTCTCACGCGTCACTACTTGTGGACTTTGGTCTGCCACGCCATGTCGAATTTCAACATTTCATCGTAACCATATGAGTGGTTTTTACTACTAATCTCTGGCTAGTTTGTCTCTTACAACTGTTCTCTTGTTAACTAAACCAACTGCACTTGTCTGGCTCCCCTGACTGATCGTGCCGCTAAATTTGAGGTCGACAATACGTTTCCCTTCGAATAGATGTTATCATCCGGATAGGCAATTAATAAACCTAAGGGCCCCGGGCTTCGTGCTTTCGAGCCTGCATGGGGGACTCGCAGACCCTCGCGGTATTCTTAGCGCACACGAGAATGGTATTGTTTACGTGGCAACCAAGCATTGAGGCGGCGCATTGTTAATGTCTTTTTTCAATCAAAGGGTACTTGACGCATGCTGAAGAGTTCTCACAAGTGACAATGCCGAAGTGCTCGTGCACCAGGTTGTTTTGACCGTAGCCTCATTTCGTCCCTGCGTTACGTAATATTTCGCCTCGTCTACCAAGTGGTGTCCACCACACGTTTTAAACGACGGCGTTATAAGCGTGTCGTCTTTGCATTGCTAGAAGGTAAGGTCAATAACCAGCAAACCGGATGCTGTTCATGTGTGTTATCACTAGTGCTCACACTGTTTTACTCGCCACCAGGGACGTGTTTAGTGTTTGTTCATCACCTAAGTATCACTAGCGGCCTGACCGTATGATATAGGCGAGTTCGTGGTACCTAGATCGCGGATATTTAGGTGTGTTTCTGTCTATCCTCCCTCCATTATGTAAACACTGATATGCTGCCTTTGAGCATACCAGTGAGTTTACTTTCGACACATCGCCTATTGATGCCTGTCATAGCACACTAAATTTTGAAATTCTGCGTGTTGTTGCTTTGTATCAATTACCATTAATGTATATTTTCGAGTAGTTGAACCTGGACTAGAAGAACGGCTTCGTGTCGGTCGATTTAACCGAAGTTCGGCTGTTTAGCTATATCGTCCAGACGGTTGTTAACCGAGTTTTTTAGAGTGCGTTTCAACGGCGTGGATGTTAATTTTGCTAGACTGTATTTCCAAAGTCTTTTCAGCGATGCTAGCGAGTTGCGTCAAGGGAACACTGCGTTACTGGCTAGAATAGCCTGTGTAGACTCTTCCGAAATAGCTGCTTAAATAACGCGTCATCCAGTTTGCGATCGCCTACTACACTGGGAAGGAGTGTGTCAGCCAAGTGATTTGCTGCTGCTAACCAAGTATACAATACGTTTGCTCAGAAATAGTGGTTCATTGGATGACTGCATGTTTAAGCTGCGAATAAGGCTTAACCATCATCCGGTGACGACAAAATATCTCGTAGCTCAGCAGCAATCTCTGGTGTCATTATCTCTAGCACATGATAAAAAATTGTTTGTTGGTGTGTGATATTGCGAAAAACAAACTGCGTAGACCTGAGTAAACCATACGTGAGTCATGGTGCAAACACTGAGTCAAGTGAAGAGTGTGCGAAATCGGCTTAGTGCGATGGAACAGCCATATTTCCAGATAGAAACAACTTCAGCAGTAAGACGAGTACAGTGTATTTCACTTGGGGTCACCAATTATTAGTGCCGCTTAGAGGCTAGTTACAAAATCAGTTGACTGGACACAGGAAATAATGATACATACAAAAGAGATTATTGTGCTTTGGGTCCAAGTCAGAATGCGATTCGGTTGCGGCGAGGGCTGTATCGAAACTTGAGCGCGCGAATAGAAGTGTACATGTCCTCTCTCCGATCGTTCCAGTTGTGTTATATTGCGTCCTAATGCAACAAAGGTACATCAGCAGATGCGAGATTAAGTGCATTTTCAATAGCCTATGGTTGTCACGCTTTGATGCGCCAGCGTGGTCACTGGTTAGAGGTGAGATGGTGTTTTGACGTCGACGTGAATCACGTGGTGTGTGATTATGCTTTGCCATATAGGTTGTATGAGAAGTGCAATCCCACAAACATGTGTTTTGAGAAAGTAGTAAACGGACCTAACATACCCCGTCATGTTTCCATCGGGACTGAACGGTGACCGAGTGGTTCAGGTATCAGATTCGCAACTCGCATCGGTTCGACTTTGCTTGAGTTCAAGCGACCCTACATGTGACTGCCATTTGCTGCAACGCGTTGCCATCTGTTCCGACTAGCACACTACTGGTGCCCTTCCTTAACTCCTGGCCTTAAATTACCTGTTCTGTCTCTTCCGTGCATCTGTGGCGTCTAATCTCTTTTGACTTCGATGGTGAAATTGCCAACGCCAATTTTCCATTTAAGACTATTTTGGAATCCAAAGTGGAGGTCATTGACGCTCGGTCCTACGAAATGATACTCTGCGTGCACAGCCTTTTGGATATGATCCGCCGGGACGCGGTTTTTACTTTGTTTCGCGCTTTGGTTACTGCGGGTGATCGTGGAGTTCAAGCTAAACCCCGTCCAAAGAGGTACGCACTCAGTGTGGTTCTGCACTCCTCATTCTTCTTATATGGCTTCTCTGTTGATCGTTAACCTATCCGTGCTGTCACTTTGTATTAGTGAAATAAAACCCACTCGAACGGAGCCGAGAGACCGTCCGACCGATGTCAAGGATGCCGCAAAACCTCCGGCGTATCAAACCATAGATGTTCCCTTACTTTCTGCATGCACTTTCCTCGATCCGAATGCACGCGGATACTTCTCTTCTGACGAAGTAGAGGAAATGTTCACTTATCTTGGGCTACCCATTTCCCGGTATCAGGTGAGTATCCCCGCGCACGTGTTTTCCAACAACACATTTCCACCGATTGATTTTTTAGAATTGCTGTTTATCATAGCTCCGTTAGATGTAAATCACATGTAAATTACTTGCTCATCACTAACTTTCATGATAAACTGTTTCACTGAGCCTGGTATATCACTTACGACTTAACACGAGGTGTTCTAAAGCAATGATAGTGCTCGTTGCCTCTAGTTTGCAAGAATTGTTTTTGCCTGTTAATATCGCCAATGGTATTCCACTATCAAATGATAAGTCAACAGTCGAGCCACTAATTCACTAGCTTCTCGTACGATACCATCATCTCGAAAGGACCCGAGTCCTTTTATCTGGCTTTCCAGTTTCCTACCCTTTCAGCTTCCATCGATTGCTTAGTCATACGGCGTAATATCAGGAAAACTTTTGTATAAGATGAACACAGCCTTGCGAGAGTTGTTTCCATTGATGGATTTACACTTTACTCCCTGGATGTTTCTCTGCTAATGATAGGTAGTGTTGTCATCGGGAAACAGCCACATTCACTATACAGCTCCCATTCTTTACTATCTTCATTTTACTGGAAAGCTCAAGTAACTTAAAATGTTTACCTGAGCCTTGTTTGAGTATAGATCGACCGGGGCCCGAAGCGTTGAAAACATTTACCTTGTAATCCTAGTCATCGGTTCGTATCCGCTAGGTGCGAACGACAACCGTACGTCCAACCCTTGCGTGATTCTTGGTAGTCGCATGACGGTGGAGTGTAGAGACAGTGTGTCGGCACACTGCTGATGCCTTTTTCTTTTTGCATTGCACACTTACATTCGTAGTGTATTTTTCAAATAATACCTCAGTTAATTGGCTCCTGAAGGTTCACAGGCGGTTTTTACTTTTCCGTCTTACTTGGATAAACATGCATCCATTTACTTCTGCATATCCTTGCAGGTTCGGTCCCTTATTTCTAAGGTGGCGGACGCTCACAGAATTTACTACCGAACTTTAACCGATTCTGAGGTTTCGCCACTTACTGTCAAGTCCACTTTGATGTACTCGGAAATCGATGATGATGAATATTTACTGGAGCTTATTCGTGGGGGAGATGCTATTCTCGATGAACAAAAAGATGCTGTATCTCCTATCGGAGGGTATGTATGGTTTGTGCTTCATATATCGTTAAATCATGATTACGTCATCTCCCGGCCCGTCCGTTATGTCGTTTTCCGTTTACGCTGCAGTAATGAAGGTACCTCCAGGAAATACTATGAATGTCTTCCTTTCTCACTGTTATATTTATGATATCATCTGAAATCCTTGTTTCTAAGATGAGTTTACAACGCTTCCGTCCGTTGTGGTTTTGTATACCACGGGTCCTCGTCACTTCGCATGAATAAAATGTACCAACCTAGGTTTTCGTCAATGGCTCGTGTGTGTGGGGATTAAAAACCCAACCCCACCAGGGGGGAGGGAACTGTTAGGGAGGGGGTTTAATTTTTAAAAATACCCATATAAAAAAAAAATTAATTAAAAAATTAAAAACCCCCACCACAAAATTTATTATAACAAACACACATTAAATTTAAATAATAAAATTTTCCAAATAATTATCATTAATTCCCTATAAAAATTTTTTCCCCC